TGGTCAAGAACGCCCTCGACCGTGTCTCCTGCATTTCCCGCAACTCATCCCTCACACCCCGTCCCCGCAATAACAACTAAAAAAGAATCCCCCTCGTCCTCACGTACCACCCCACCAACCTCTAGATCCAACGCATCATCCTCCGACACATCCGCCATCTGCAATCCGACCCCACCACCAAAGACATTTTTCCCTCCCCACCCTTATCTGCTTTCCGGAGGGACAACTCTCTCCATGACTCCCTTGTCCGCTCCACACTCCCCTTCAGCCCCACCACACCTGGCACTTTTCCCTGCAACCGCTACGCCTGCCCCCACACCTCCTCCCTCACCCCCATCCCAGGCCCCAAGAAGACTTTCCACATCAAGCAGATGTTCACCTGCACATCTGCTAATCTGGTATACTGCATCTGCTGTACCCGTTGTGGCCTCCTCTACATTGGGGAAACCAAGCGGAGGCTCGGGGACCGCTTTGTAGAACACCTACGCTCGGTTCGCAATAAACAACTGCACCTCCCAGTCGCGAACCATTTCAACTCCCCCTCCCATTCCTCAGACGACATGTCCATCCTGGGCCTCCTGCAGTGCCACAACGATGCCACCCGAAGGTTGCAGGAACAGCAACTCATATTCTGCTTGGGAACCCTGCAGCCCAATTGTATCAATGTGGATTTCACAAGCTTCAAAATCTCCCCTCCCCCTACCGCATTCCAAAACGAGCCCAGCTCGTCCCCGCCTCCCTAACCTGTTCTTCCTCCCACCTATCCCTTCTCCCACCTCAAGCCGCACCCCCATCTCCTACCTACTAACCTCATCCTGCCCCCTTGACCTGTCCGTCCTCCCTGGACTGACCTATCCCCTCCCTAACTCCCCACCTACACTCACCTTTACTGGCTCCATCCCCGCCTCCTTGACCTGTCTGTTTCCTCTCCACCTATCTTCTCCTCTATCTTCTATCCACCTCCCCCTCTCTCCCTATTTATTTCAGAACCCCCTTCCCCTCCACCATTTCTGATGAAGGGTCTAGGCCCGAAACGTCAGCCTTCCTGCTCCTGTGATGCTGCTTGGCATGCTGTGTTCATCCAGCTCTGCACCTTGTTATCTTAGATTCTCCAGCATCTGCAGTTCCTACTATCTCTGGCATAAATGGGTATTTTTTTCAGGTTGGCAAGATGTAACAATAAGTTTACCACAGGGATCAGTGCTGGGACCTCAAATTTTACTAATGACTTGGATGACAAGACCAAATGTCAGTCGTTAAATTTACTGACAACACAAAAATAGGTAGAAAAGTGAGCTGTGAAGGAAACATATGGAGGCTACTAACACATATAGGTGAGGTACCAAAATAGGCAAAGATCTGGCAAATGGAGTATAACGAGAAAATGTGAAATTGAACATTTTGGCAGGAAGATTACAAAGAAACAGCATCAAAATGGTGAGAGATTGCATATTTGTGGGATTTGGGTGTCCTAGCACATTAATTTCAAAAGGTTAGCATGCAGGTACAGCAAATAATTAGGAAAGCTAACAGACTGTTACTGCAAGGGGAAAATTCGTACAAAACGAAGGGAGGTTATGCTTCAGTTAAACACGGCATTCATAGGTGTCCATCTGAAGTACTCTGTACAGTATTGATCACATTTTGAGGAAGAACATAAATACACCTGAAGCAATTCAGAGAAGATTTACTAGATTGATACCCAAGATAGTCACGGTGTCCCACAGGGAAACATAGGACAGGCTAGGAATGCTTCTGCTGGAGTTTCGAATGATGTGGAGTAATATTTTTAAACATATAAGATCCTGAGGGGTCTTGACAGGGTGGACGCAGAGAAGATGTTTCCGTTCATGGGAGAATCTAGAATGAGACGGTCACTGTTTAAAAATAACAGGTCGCCCATTTAAGACAGATAAGGAGAAATATTTTCTCAAAAAGTATTGAGAATCTTTGGAACACTATTCCTCAGTGGAAACAGAGTCACTGAATATTTTTGAAGAGAGAAATGGAGAGATTCTGATTAAGCAAAGGGAGTAAAAGTTTATCGGGGTAGGTGGAAATTCAGAATTGAGGTTATAATCAGATTAGCCATGCCTTTATTCAATGGCACTGTCCACTGGCTCCAAACCAACATATTCGTCTGGAATAGACAATGGATTGGAAGTGGTGAATCACACAACTGGTCGGACAGGGATTAGCAATGGCAAGGTAGTCAAGGAGACAACGAGACAACTTGTCAGCAAGTAAACTCGCCACCCAATAGTATGGACAGCTCTACATCCTGCAAGGAACCAGTACGGTGCCCTAATACAGCAGTATGGAAAGTGACTACTCAGACGAAGGTTTGTACGACAGTCACAAAGCGGATCTTAGAGTTTAGTGTGCACCTCAGCAACTGTGCATGGCTGCTGAGCCATATGGACTGGAGCTTCAGTGGTGATGCTGCAGATCATTGGGACTGATGCGCCTCTGCCCCAACACCCACATCACGTTATCCCCCCAATTAAGATACACCATCTGCTTCCTCACAAGGCCCTTGACAAATGTCCATCACAGAACCAAACAACAGAGAAACTCTCCCCCAACTTTGCCACCACTACTCATAGGGACAGTAGCATTGATTCAAATTTGTTTAAGCATGTTGCATTGACAAAGTGGGTGAGAAATAATGTTGAGGCTTTTATTGCATTCGCCATTAAATAAGTCACTGATTTGCATCAGCGAATGCCCCTGCAGTCTGACTTCACAGCAGGCACTGAGGATGCAATGTCTGTGCAGCACACACCTGATCCCTGGCTCCAAGCATGGAAAATTAACAAATGGGAACTGGAAGGTTCTGAGAACTGTTCAGTTGAGTGAGGGAGGAACCAAGTGAATCAACTGAAGCACTGGGTGATGAACTGACTCCTCACATCCTGGGCTATGAACTGCTGACTTGTGTTTTCCTCATCCATTCCTTCCTCTCCATCATCCAGATCTTCCTCATCAGATGAGGAGAGGTCTTCGGGCACTTCTTCCTCCAGCTGCAGTCCCCTCTGCACAGCAAAGTTGTGCAGGATGCAGCAGACAACCACAATACGGGAGACCCTCTGTGGGCTGTACTGCAGAGGACCACCAGACCGGTCCAGGCAGCGAAAGCGCCGCTTCAGGAGTCCTATGGTGCGCCTGATGACCCTCCTGGTAGCCGCATGGCTTTTGTTATACCGCAGCTCAGCAGGTGTGCTGGGACTGGGGTGTGGGGTCATCAGCCACGTGTGGAGGGGGTAGTCTCTGTCACCGAGCAGCCAGCCTTTGACATTCTGGCAGCTGCTGAAGAGTGGGGGGATGGTGGACTGGTGCAGGATGAAGGCGTCGCAGCAGCTGCCAGGAAAGCGGGCACAGACCTGCATAATTCGATGACAATGGTCTGTAACGAGCTGAACATTGATGGAGTAGTAGCCCCTCCTGTTGAAAGCTGCTGGCTGATTGTCTGGGGCCTTGATGGCGATGTGAGTGCAGTCTATGATCCCCTGTACCCTGGGGAAGCCTGCTAGGGCACAAAATCCTGCCGCCCTGTCATCTTGACTGCTTGCATCCATTGGAAAGCAGATGTAGTCATTGGCTCGGGCAAACAGAGCGTTGGTAACCTGTTTAATGCACTTGTGCACCGCCGACTGGCTGATGTGAGAGATGTCACCGGCAGCCCCCTGGAAGGAGCCAGAAGCAAAAAAGTTCAGGGCAGTGGTCACCTTTACAGCTACTGGCAGGGCATGGCCACCAGGCCCGGCTGGCATCAGGTCCTGCTGCAGAAGGCTGCACAGCTCACTGACCGCCTGCTTTGAGAAGCGCAGCCTCCTCAGACACTCCTCCTCAGACAACTCCAGGAATGTGACCCGGGGCCGGTAAACCCGGTTGGCAGGGTATAGCCTCCGCCGAGTCCTTTCCTTGGCCTGCGAGCGCCTGTTGGCTCCTACCACCCGCTTCTGGGCGGACAGCTTGCGTTGTAGCTGCTGCTGTTCTCGGTGCCTCCGCTCCAGCTCCTCCTCCTCCTCCTCTTCGTGCAGCCAGATCAAAGTTCCCAAGACAGCCCCCATCTAAGCTGTCCCCAGACCCCGTTTCTCTCACCTTATTCCGGCCTCCCTACCTCGTTTCTCTCTTTCTCCTGCCCTTCTTCCCCAGCGAGTGTCTGTCTTTCTTTTGCCCTCTCTCTGACCCTGATCTCTCTCTCCCTCCCTAGTGTCTCTGCGTCTCTTTTGTTTTCTCACTGTTGTGTCCCACCCCCTTGCCCACACCCCTGTATCTGCCCCTCTCTCTCTCCTACACACC